TCTTTCCCCTCTCAAACCTCCTCGTGTCCATTAAATAAAGGACTTGGTCTCACCTAGCGAGTTCCCACCATCAGCCATCTATAGGGATTTGACTTTTCTGTGTTTATCTACATGGGTTTCTGTCTCTGATTCACTGGAAGTCACAGTGGCCCCTGTCTAGTACAGGTGAGCTTTTGTCATCAGTCACTGACATCCCAAGTTCCCTGTTTGTGCAAGTGACTGTCAGCGTTGCCCACTGAGGTGGTGCTTTGTCTCTGTGGAAATTGCAGTTGTTGGCAGGGGTTGGATCCCGGGCTGGTTAATGGTGTAACAGTTTCTGAGGGCTTGGAAGTGTTTTGGGTTGGGTATGACAGCCGTTCAAGTGTCAGAAATGATGGCGATGTGTCTGTGCTAAAGCTTCCTTGGGAGGCTGTATCTGTAACAGCTGTTTCTGTTGGAAAGAAGTGGATGCTCTTGCTTGGATTGCTTTCTCTGTGTTGAGGCTGCCTAAGCTTGGGTGCAGCTAATTCACCCTCATGCCCTTTGTGTTGTTTGTAGTGGATGCTGTTCCTCAAAAGCAACGTTCACATCTCTTGGTTGCACGCTTCTTGCAGCTGGTGCATTGTGGTGATGTCTCTGCATCTCCCGCCTGCTTCCCGGAGAGGCTGGAATGTTTTTTCCCCTGTTGTCTAGAAACCTTTTCTAGACTTCAGATTTGAATTGGATATTCCAGACCTCCTGCCCCAGATGCATTCCCAAAGCAAGGTGTGTTTCTGTTCACTGAATTGCTTCTCTTCCCCAGCCTGATGGAACAGAGTGGCTTCTGCACCCTCTTGAGATGAGTGCTGGCTCAATGCTGCTGGGGATTTCCCTGTGCAGACCCTGTTGGTCCAGATGGGTGGATCTGAAGATACAGAGAGGTCAATTTCTCACGTGAAATTTGGGTTTCTGTGACTTGGATCCACCGATCTGGAGGTATCCCGTTGCTCCTGCCTCCAGGAGGGCAGAGGGTCCTGTTGTCAAATGCCCATTGCCTGCAGTGAGCTCTGGCTGGGGCAGCCAGCAGTGTCCTGCAGAGGCTATGAGATGTTAATTGCCTATTAGCTGTTATTTGCTTGATTAGCAGGTTTTGGTCAGAGAACTGATCAGGCTGGATTGGTGGATGTTCAGGTAAAGAGTGTGGTTTCTTGCTGTGTAGACAGAAAGCAAAGGAGCAAATGGGGCTCCTCGTACCCATGCATGTGTTAGGAGGGAGGAAGCGTCTGTGTAAACTGCATCACCAGAGCAAAGATGCCACTGCTGAGGAGGGAAGGCGCATCGTGCCAGAGGTGGCCTTGGAAATGTCAGGATGTTGGGTGTAGCCATGCTCCTCCTCGGTGCTGAGGCTCTGTACTCTCGTAAATGTTTACAGACCCCACGTACCCCATCAAGGTGATTCGGCTTTCCTTTTAGGGTTTGTTTCTCAGTCTGAGAGGTCTTGGGAGTGTTGGAAAAGAATTTGGGGAGTGTGGAGGAAACCATTTGGGGAATCACTGTAAGCCAGGGGTAACGTTTAGCTCCTGCGAGCGGGGTGATGCACACGTGGGCTGGAGGGACTCAGCGTGGTTTCCACACAGAGGTCTCCCAGGTGACCCGTGCGTGATTTCTGACCCCATTCATTCATGCTATTTCCTTGGTTTTAACGGCGTGTTATCCAGAGGAAGGATTTCAGAGGCTGTGGAACCCCAATTGCAAAACATCACATTATTAAGACTCTGACCAGTGCTTCCCAGTTGCCTTGCACCCTGTGGCACAGGGTACCCTCTGCAGCCTGGTGAGCATCACATCTGCTGTGCTCCTGCTTGGAGGCTGTCCCCAGAGCTTCGCTGCTCTCATGGGTAGAGGCTTTTTGTAATTATATGCTGTGCCCTGGAATACTATTTCTGGGGAGAGAGAGCATAGATTAAATACTATCGAATATAAAAGTTGAGGCATGGGTTCCCAAATCTTTTTCCTCTCCCCCCTTACGTTTTTTTTCCCCATCTGCAGTGTTTTGAGCCATGTCTTATGGTTTGAGCCTCAGGCTGGGGCTGCACCCCTCCAGGACATGCTGCTGGGGGTGCACAGGGAGTGCGGGAGGGGGGTGCCAGGGCAGGATACAGAGCAGCACATAGGGACATGAGACCATGTGCGGGAGCGAGGGAGGGCGTTGGCGGGAAGGTCCGTGCTGGGTCTGTTACTGACGGAGGGCGTGCATCTTGTTCAGTTCAGCTGCGACGGCTACCAGCAAATCTACTTCACAAGTGCAGAGGGAGAGTTGTCTGGTTCTGGCATACTGCCCAGCCTGTCTGTAGGGGATCTAGCACAGGGATACTCATAATTTTATGTGTGACCTGTACAGGGTAAAGGCAGGATAGAGCATGTATTACAGAGAGTAATTGGGGAGTAAAATTTTGAAACGATGCAGTCTAGAGAAGATTCGAGTGTTTCACTGACCGCTGATGCCCCAGTCCAGGGAGGTGTGTGCCCGGTGACAGTCAGCAAGGCTGTGCATGATGCTGTGCTCTGCAGGCTGGCTAACAGTTGAGGCTTTGGGGAGCTGGCAGTTGAGACCACGGTTCTCATTAGGTCAGGCTGTATTTCTGACTTAGGCCAGATTAACAAATGCTAACTTTGTTTTCCCTGCAGCAGGCATTGCAGAGGCTGGAGGACACAAGCCATGGTTAGGGTGAGCTCTTAAAACTTCTGACCATTGTTTTTCAATTGATATTTCCAACCGATTGAAAAGCATCCTGCCTTTTACCTCATCTGTTCTGTGTCCAAGTAGGATTTAGGTCACAAACGAAATTAGATTACTCGATTATCTGTCTGTAAGCTCTACAGAGCTACTTGTGGCTGGTGGCCTTTGCTGAAAAGAGGTCCAGGTAACACTGGTACGGGAGTGATGTGGTGAGATGCGACTGTATAGCTGTGCCTGGCAGGTTTGCCTTGCAGCTGTCCGTGTTGCGCTGCCCATCGCTGCCATCCGTTGGACCGAGTTGTTCAGTTGGCTGTAGATGAGTTTTTCAGTTTTCTGGAGAGTGTTGCACTCTTCTGGTGCAGCAATGTCTCCATCTTGACTTCAGCCTACAGGATTTAGATCCACCTGCTAAGAAATGAGCATGCTCGAAGAATTTCGTTTGGCGTGCTGCTGCTGTTGTCCACTTGCTGGGAAGTCCCTTGACTGCCAGAGGTGCCACCTCACCAGAACTTGAACACCAGAGCATTGTGGTCTTATGTAGAAAGGTGACAAAACAAAATGACCCCTTTTAATACTCTCAAACCCAGCTTCTGACCTGTCTGGTGGCCTGTGGGACTCTGTAGCCTCCCTGTAGCATGTGGGTGTC